GAAGAAGAGATCCGCAGTCTCATCGGCATGGGGACTTGGGAGCTGGTCGAACGCCCACACGGGGTGAACATCATGAAGAACCGGTGGGTGCTGACGACCAAGTACCGCATCGACGACACCGTTGAGCGCGAGAAGGCGAGGCTGGTCGTGAAGGGCTTCACGCAGGTGTATGGTGCCGACTACGACGAGACGTACTCGCCGGTGAGCAGCTACGTCACGCTGAGAATATTCCTCAGCATCGTCGCCGTTCTGGACCTCAACCTGATGCAGCTCGACATGAAGAACGCTTTCCTGCAGAGCAAGCTCGACAGGGTGCTCTATATGTACCAGCCGGACTACTCAGACGACGAGACCGGCCGGGTGTGCAAGCTGCTGAAGAGCTTCTACGAGCTGAAGCAGTCGCCGCTTCTGTGGTACAGGGCTCTCGACAGTGTGCTGCTGGGTGCTGGCTGGAAGAAGAGCCAGGTCGACGAGGCGCTCTACTTCAAGGCCGGCGACGTCGATGATGGAGTGACTTGCTGGGTGCTGGTCTACGTCGACGACCTGCTCGCCGCCAACAGCAGCACCGTGATGCTGAAGGAACTGAAAGAGCTGCTGGAGGCCGCCTTCGAGCTACGTGAGATCTCACCGGTGGTGAAGTACCTTCGGCTGGAGATCTTGCGCGACAGGCCGGCCAGGAAGCTGTGGCTGCACCAGCAGGGCTACGCCGACAAGCTGCATAGGCGCTTCATCGACGAGGAGCAGGGCGGTCGAGTCCCGAAGATGCCAGTCTCGTTTGACGCCTACGCTCAGCTGACGTTCGACGACGAGGAGGCTCAAGAGCGCGAGGAGGAGGAGTACCGGCAGAAGGTCGGCTCGTTGCAGTTCGCGGTGACGATGACCAGGCCAGACATCGCGTTCGCCTGCAGTAATCTGGGGAGTGGCCTCACGGTGAGGAGCGACCAGCATTGGCGCGAGGTCGACCGCTGTCTCGCCTACCTCGCCGACACCCGCAACACTGCCCTGGAGTTTGGCGGTGCACAAGAATCGTTGGAGCTGCTCGGTTACGTCGATGCCGACGACGCGGGTGACAAGCAGAACCGAACGAGCACGGGAGGCTACGTGTTCATCTACGGAGGGGCCGCAGTCTCCTGGTCGAGCTCGCGCATCAAGTGCGCGACATTGTCATCGACCGAGTCGGAGTACGTGGCGGCAACGGACGCCGGCAAGGAGGGGCGTCGACTTCGCTTCCTCCTTGCGCAATTCAAGCTGCTCGACGCTGGGAAGCCGACCATCCTCCGCGTCGACACCAAGTCGGCAATCACGGTCGCTGAGGGCTTGGGGCTGACGGGCAACCTCAAGCACATGGAGCGACGCTACGCCTGGCTGCAGCACATGGTGAGGCGCGGGAAATTTGTGCTGAACTACATCCCTACCACCGAGCAGCCGGCGGACTTCCTGACGAAGGCGCTGCATTTTCCGGCTTTCAACCGGTGCTCTGTCGCCATCGGCCAGGTTCGCCTAGTCGACGTCGGCGACGGCGACGACGAGGTGCAGTAGTAGGTGCCGTGCCCTTCTGCACGGCTGGTGCGGTGACGGCGTGCTGTATGTGGGGTGCACGCCGAGGACGAGTTTTCTTCGTGGAGTACTGCCGTGTGGGCTGGAGGCCCAAGCGTGAGCGCGACAGGGGAGTGTTAATAGGAATGGAGTGTTGGCCCCGCCCTCGCTTGGGAAATGCCGACGACTTGGTCCGATGCACGGGAGTAGCAGCCGACCGTTCACAGTGGGATAGCTGCTCGACAGGTTACGTCAAGCTGCAGTGGACCGCTGTGGTGTTGCTGTCAACCAAGGAGCTCGACAGCTGCAACTGACTGGTCTGTGCGACGGGTGGACCGTCCGGGAGGTCGACGAAGCAGTCCGTCGACCTATAGTTCGACCGGGAGGTCGACAGAGCAGTTCTGGTCGACAGAAGGGGTCTGTCGACCAGGGGGTAGCTCGACAGGAGTTGTGGTCGACCAGGAGCGCCTGGTGGTCGACCAGAGGGACCCAGTGGTCGACCAGAGCACCAGGGGTAGACCAGGTCGTCTGGGTAACCTGCTCGACGAGTTCTGCGGAGGCTCGCGAACGTCATCGAGATCACGATGGCGCAGGCGACTTCGGGCTGGTATCCCGAAGTCGATGTGGCTCGTCAGGTGCAGACAACAGCCGACGGATGCCCAACGAGGCAAGTCGGGCCAATCGTCTGCGCACACCTGCGAGCGCGCGCACTGCTGTGTTCTACGGGGCATGCCGTCGACCTGCTTTGTTGGCAAGTCGCTCTTCTGCAGTGCTAGCGCGACTCCTCTACGCAATGCTGGCAGGCGGTCGATCAGGCTAGCTGCAGGGTTGCTAGGTGCCTGATGTAGTCATTGTTGTGATTGCTTCTTGGATCATTCTTGAATTCCAACTTTGCTAGTGAAACTCTTGCCGATTTCTCCTGTGAATGTGCAAGCACTAAGGAACTAAGCAAAGCTACGATCACCTCTAGTAGTTCGTGCCAAACCCTGTAGTCTAGCTCACTACCGTTGTAGAGTGATTCTCCACAGCTTCGCCCATACATCCCGACCTCAATCCAGCTGCCACGCCATCGCTCGCCGTCCATGACTCGCCTTGCATCGGAGCCGATCGTCGAGCCCGAGAAGATTCTGAGCCATAGGATTCATCATTGGCATCAAGAGGATCGAGTTCCTCGTTCGATGGAAGGACCGCACGCCAACTGAAGGTAGCTGGGTGCCCCTGGCCAACATCGAAAACCACCCTGCCTTGCAAGTGTACCTGAGGAGCCGGGGTTCCACGATATACACACACTCGTGTAGCGGATGGGGATTCTTGAGGAGAGGGGGGGGGGGGGGGGGGGTAATGTAAGGATTTTTTTCAGCATTCCTTACCGCGTTCTTCAACATCGCGTACAGCAGCAGCCGTTGTTCGCCCGTTACTGCTAACGGGGCTTCGCCAACTTCACGCGCACTGTTTTACCAAACCATGCACCGCTGGCCTGGGCGAGTCGGCCTACGCTTCGGGACTAGCCCGAACCTCGATGCATGCGTAGCACTAGCTAGCTCGCACGCACCGCGTAACCGTTGCATGATTTCGCACATGCCTTCGCTCATACTTTGTATTCGTTTGACACCTACTACAATCCTCGCTATCTCGTTCCATTGCATCCGTAACAGTATCTCTCGATTTGCCCCTAACTGGCACTTGCGCGAGAGATGAGCAGAAGGGAATGTACAAAAGTGGACTGAAACGAAATGTAGGTATATTCTTTTGAATTCAGTCAGCGCGAGGGGATGACGGGCTCACGGTAGCGGGGTGCACATACGGAATTTCTTCAACAGTCAGGATGTTTTTGCCTGAGATCCGGATTTCGAGGGGGATGACTTCCAAATCATCCGGATACATACATAGTGGTTCTAAAAAAAGTCTGGACGCTTAGGGGTGTCTCTAAAAAACCTTAGGGCCGGAATCGATTGGTCGCGTCCCTGAGAGAGTAACATCTGCGATGCGAGACAGATGTTATGCAACTTAACAATATACTTGGGGTTTTCACACTTAGTCTCAGTATTAGGAGGGTTTAGGCCACTTGGAGTGTTAGGTTCTTTATGGAACTGGAGTCATGAAGTGGCCCTTGAATAGATGGAAGTGCTTTTCTAGAGTACTAGTTCTACACTTCACTTGTACTTTATACTTTACAGTAGGCCACAGGGTAGTTATTAGAAACGCACTGACTCAGGGAACCCCTTGATGGATCCGGATCAGAAAGGGTAGCCTTTCTACCGATCCGGATTTTTACGTACGTTTACGTGGGGGCCCCAGAGGCATCCAGATCTTCAAAAACGAAAAATTAGGCCTGTGACGGAGCCTGCTTTCACCGCAGGCTCCACCTGAGCTCTGTACACCTGCCCTTCCCCTCAATTTCACGTGAAACCGACTCCGGGAAACACCCGTAACCCTGCTTTGACTTGATCAATGAGCACCCCGGAATTAGGGGCTATGGATGATTCGATCATCTGTCCAAGTCGTAAACAATCCTGGTGTGTGGTCACAGCACATCGACCAGGATGTTTTAGTACAAACCTCTTGTATGCGGAGTCTGAAAAGACCCCACTCTTAAACGAAAGCGTTCGGAACAACCTTCGGTTTAGCTGCGTATTTTCTCTCTCGCCCGAGTCGCGCGACCTGGCACGTGTCGTGGCGCCCAAGCGCGTGCCAGCGCAGCGCGAGGAAGGATCAGGCACGCGCGATCGGACCCTCCTCCTCATCACACATCCCTGCCTTTCAAAACCACGTTCCCCCGATTGCCATCCGCCCCCTTCACCAGCTTCGCCTTCATTGATTTACACCTGAGTTCTGACCTGACCCCAGATTGTTTGCTGTTGCGGATACTGTACAGATAGACATTGCAGCATGTTGTTGGCCTCCAAACGTACTGTAACCACAGAAAAGGCCAGGTTTCAACGAACACCACCTTATAATACAAATTCCCACAATAACCACTTTTACGGTCAGAATTGGGTTTTTTCTGCCTATAAGTATATATGTTTGTATATATAAACTAGCTAGGGAAGAGTATATATATATTGTTGACCTGCTTTGTTCAATCCATTCACAGCTATCGAATTCCGCCGTTATGCGTTTTGGGTTCCGTCTTCAACCAGCCAGCGTCCAATCTGTGAATGTTCCTGAGATGTATTTCTACAGAACTTTCAGGTTGAGGTCCGCCTTGGGTGCCATGTCATCGCTGCTTGGACTTCCTGAGATGTATTTCACAAAAACCGATTTCATTCTATCTCCTAGGAAGGCTTCCTATGTCCCATTACCTGCGAAACAGCAGTTTATTCCGATAGTACGATTGACGTCGCTGCTACATGATAAAACGCCTTTCCACTGCTGCTGCTGTGCTGCTGCGAGACTCCTTATTGTTAGGTACTTGAGCGAAGGACCCCGACGCGTAGAACTAGTTTCGACATTGCGCATCACGCATGGCTGTGAAGCGGCGCTCTGGCCTCGTGCTCGCTGCTCTGGCTGCTCTCATGCTCTCAGGTACTATGCTCATGCCTGTATGCTCACGTCTCTCATGCTCTCAGGATTGCCACGTTTGGTTGAGAGAGAGTTAGTAGTATAGAGTCACTGACAACCGCACTGACATGCGTCATGCTTCTCTTCCACGAATCCATCCGAAAATCTCGAGCTGACTTATCTCTCGTACCTTGTCTACGAGTCGTCATGCCCATCGCCAGGCTAATCACCGCGTTTTCCCTTGTCTACGAGAACGGTTCTCTTTTCCCACCGTTCTTTTGCGCCTTCGTTCGTTCCCGTCCCTCCTCCCTTTCCCCCTTTTCCCCGTCCCCTCTTTTTCGCTGTGCGCACAGGGCTGCCATTGGCCTCCCTCGTTCAGCCTTGGCCCCTTCCGTCCGCATCCCATTCTCCTCATTTCCTTCCCTCGCTCGACGTTGCCATTCTCTTCCCCGTCTTTCACCCACCCTCTCACAGCCTGTACTCCCAGGGCTGCTGCCGCCCGCACGCCAGCTACGAGTGCCGCCCCAGACCGTAAGTCAGCACCCAATGGTTGGGGGCTGACTCAGCCTCAAACCGTTGCACACCGCTCATGATCTTTCTCCTTGCCCTCTACCCTCAAGGGGTATGACGCTCGCCACTCCTAGCACTCATTCCACCCTATCCGTCCAGCCAGTCCCTCTTCTTTTCTTTCTGTCCACACTCAGAAGTTTCTCAGGTCTTGTCTAGGAAGCTCTTACGGTGCTTTGGGCCACTGTCCACTCCACCTCTCCATGCCCGATACCATGAACACCTCGCTGTTCCTCTTTTTTTCTCTCCTTTTCTCTCGTCGTCCCTCTTCCTCTCCTGCTTGTTTTTCTCCCCCACTCTTCCTTTCCTCTCAGTTGCTTTCCTCTCGCTGTTCTCGTCCCCATTTCTCCTTCATGAAATAACCCGGCAGACTCGTGTGTGCAGAGGAACTGCGGCGCCAATGCGGTCTGTGTGAAGGAGAAGGGCAACGCCACCTGCATTTGCAATCTTGGATTCGCCATGACCCCTAAAGGCTGTGTCGGTGAGTGCTGCTGTGCTGTTGCCAGTGGTTGAATTGAGTGTTGTTGTCGGGTTGACTGCTGTTGAGGGGGTTAGTGCTGCTGGAGAGTGCTTCTATGCGGTTGGGTAGACCTGTGTTTCTACAAACATGTGAGCTTTAAACGTGGAGTCGAGGCTAGCAGGTGAGTATGGCGCCCTGTGCCCCACAGCTCGGCGATTTGGGGTTATCCCTGGTGTAAATCCTCTGACGTTACACCGAGACCTTAGCGAGGTAATCCGTGGCCATGGTAGAAGTCCAGATGTATTCACGTAGGTTCCAGAAGTGAACAAATTTCGGCAGTGAATAAATTACCCGGTGTCAGCAGCCCAGTGTGTGTTAATTAAGAGCAGGGTGTCAGGGAGCAGTGTTCGGAGCCTGTCAGGCGTCAGGCTAGACCTCAATCCTGTAGAAGCTTGTCATGTGGACGGGCTAGTCATTTTCCTTCGCCTGTTATTTTTTATCCAAATCTCCTCACTTGCTCATCCCCCTTCCCTCCCCTTTCCAGACACATGTGTGCTCAAGGCGTGTGGTGGCAATGGCACGTGCATCAAGGACAGCGCTGGAGTGGCCTCCTGTGTTTGTGACGTCGGCTTTGTTCTTCAAACTAACAACAGGACATGCACTGGTACGTGCTGCTGCATGTGTGCTTCTCTGTTGATAAATGCTGCTGCCACCTGTCATACTCTGGTACTTCTACGGACTTCCCCTCTCCCTCCACCCATTGAATTCTCCTGTGGCTCTTTGCATTGGCAGACACATGTGTGCTCAAGAGGTGTGGTGGCAACGGCACATGCACCAAGGACAGCGCTGGAGTGGCTTCCTGTGTTTGTGACGAGGGCTTTGTTCTTCAAACTAACAACAGGACATGCACTGGTACGTGCTGTTGTGTCATTCTCTTCTGACACATTCTGCTGCTACCAGTCATACTCTGTTACTTCTATGGTCCTCCTCCCCCCCTTCCCACACACATGCCGGATAACCCACTGTTATTCTTCCTGCACATGTTGCCCTTCTTACGGACTCTTCCTTCTGGCTCTTTGCATTGTCAGACACATGTGTGCTCAAGAGGTGTGGTGGCAACGGCACATGCACCAAGGACAGTGCTGGAGTGGCCTCCTGTGTTTGTAACGTGGGCTTCGTTCTTCGAACTGACGGCAGGACATGCACTGGTATGTGCTGCTGCGTGTGTGCCCCTTTTCTTATAAATGCTGCTGCCACCTGTCATCACTCTTCCTTCACATTCGCATGCCCCATAACTCCCCTTTTTCTCTTCCTGCACATGTTACCCTTCCCATTGACTCTTCCTTGTGGCTCTTTGCATTGACAGACACATGTGTGCTCAAGGCGTGTGGTGGCAACGGCACGTGCACCAAGGACAGCACTGGAGTGGCTTCTTGTGTTTGTGACGTGGGCTTTGTCCTTCAAACTAATGGCAGGACATGCACTGGTACGTGCTGCTGCGTGTGTGCTCCTTTTCTTACACATACTGCTGCTACTACCTGTCATGCTCACTCAATTCACCTCGCCCCCCTCACATACACATGCCCCAAAACTCCCTACTTCTCTTCCTGCACATGTTGCCCTTCCCATTGGCTTCTCCCTTTGGCTCTTCGCCTTGGCAGATGCGTGTACGCTCAAGAGGTGTGGGAGTAACGCCAAGTGCGTGAAGAGCGCTGCAGGAGTGGCGTCCTGTGTGTGTGACTCTGGCTTCGTGATGCAGCCTGATGGCACCACATGCACTGGTATGTGCTGTGACATGCTGCATGTGCTATGCCAAGTCCTGTGCCATGGGCTACAACGTGAAATCTCAATTTCCCTGCCTCCTTCGCCCCAGACACATGCGCACTCAAGGCGTGTGGTGGCAACGGCATGTGCACCAAGGACAGCGCTGGAGTGGCATCCTGTGTTTGTGACGCTGGCTTCGTTCTTCAAAATGACGGCAGGACATGCACTGGTATGTGATGCTTTTTAATGCTCTTCTTAGACATTCTGCTGCCCGTCATACTCAATCTGTTCCTTCTACCTCTCCCCCTTCACATACACATGCTTAGTAACTTCCTGTTTCTCTTCCTGCACATATTGCCCTTCCCATTGACTGTTCCTCATGGCTCTTCGCCTTGGCAGACGCATGTGTGCTCAAGCGGTGTGGGGGTAACGCCACGTGCGTCAAGAACGCTGCAGGAGTGGCGTCATGTCTTTGTAACTCTGGCTTCGAGATACAGCCTGATGGAACCACATGCACTGGTATGTGCTGTGCCATGTGCGATGCCATGTGCGATGCCATGTGCGATGCCATGTGCGATGCCATGTGTGATGCCATGTCCTATGCCATGTTCTATCTATGCGATGTGGTATTCCATGTGCGATGCCTTGTCCTATGCCATGTGCGATGCCATGTGCGATGCCATGTCCTAAACCATGTGCTATGCCATGTGCTATTACGGGCCATGTGATACAACGTGACATCTCAATTGCCTCGCCCCGCCTCTCCAGAAACTTGTGCACTCAAGGCCTGTGGAGGCAACGGCACATGCACCAAGGACAGCGCTGGAGTGGCCTCCTGTGTGTGTGACGCTGGCTTTGTTCTTCAAACTGATGGCAGGACATGCACTGGTACGTTACCTGCTGCCGCCTTTCATACTCACCCTGTTCTTGTACCGATCCTTGCCTAATAACTCCTTGTTTCTCTTCATGCACATGTTACCTTTCCTGTTCACTCTTCCTTGTGGCCCTCTGCTTTGGCAGACACATGTGTGCTAAAAAACTGTGCTGGTGACACCAAGTGCGTGAAGGGCGCTGCAGGAGTGGCTTCCTGTGTTTGTGTTACTGGCTTCGTACTGCAGCCTGATGGCGTCACATGCACCGGTATGTGCCATGCCATATGCTGTGCCGTGTTTCCTGCCATGCCTTGTGCTATGCCATAAGCTAATTACGATTGCCAGTGACATGAGCATTGGGCGAGTCAGGTTTTACTTGACAGGTTTAGACGAGCTTCGAATGGCTATCAAGTCGAGTCTAGTAACTCGTCCGAGTTCGTTTCCGGACGATTGAGCAGCATTAATGTGCCTACCGGACCTGTTACTCCGTTCCTCTCCCTCCATCCGCTTGCTTCCTCTCCCTCCATCTACTTGCTTTCTCTCCCCCCATCTACTTGCTTTCTCTCCCTCCATCTACTTGCTTCCTCTCCCTCCATCTACTTGCTTCCTCTCCCTCCATCTACTTGCTTCCTCTCCCTCCATCTACTTGCTTCCTCTCCCTCCATCTACTTGCTTCCTCTCCCTCCATCTACTTGCTTCCTCTCCCTCCATCTACTTGCTTCCTCTCCCTCCATCTACTTGCTTCCTCTCCCTCCATCTACTTGCTTCCTCTCCCTCCATCTACTTGCTTCCTCTCCCTCCATCTACTTGCTTTCTCTCCCTCCATCTACTTGCTTCCTCTCCCTCCATCTACTTGCTTCCTCTCCCTCCATCTACTTGCTTCCTCTCCCTCCATCTACTTGCTTCCTCTCCCTCCATCTACTTGCTTCCTTTGTTGGAAAAATCGCCAGAATCTATAAGCGCACGCAATTCGTACGTATATTCGTTGGGGAAAATTCGGGCTGACCGGAAAAAAACACAGTTTTCACAAGTCGCGCACGAATTGCGAATGTGCGATGCGACTCCAAATGTACGCACGTCCAACCCAATTTGTTCGCACGTCCCCAACACATTGTCACCAACACCTGACACAATTTGGGGACGTGGGAAAATTTATACCGCATTGCACCCTATGTTATCGCGCGACTCCAACACACAAACACGAATGTCGTCAACCAGCGTAGGTGGTTCAACCTCATCCTGCACTATAAGGTAAGCGCATTCCCGTCATCTGTAGTATCTCTCTACTAGTTCATTCTGTCCCAACACGCCCACTGATGTCGACTCCTTCTGGTACTCCCGCGAGTGCCACTAGTGAGGCTCCTAGTGTTTCGAATGACGCGACCATGGCGGACGACGGGGATGTTCCTGTGAACACCCATGTTATTTTTAAGCATTTCCTTACCTCTACTGAAGGTACCTCGAATGGTCCCGAGCGTACTCTCCGCGAATGCAGGCACTGCAAGCTTAAGTTCGTAGGCGGCGCCTACCGTTGTGCGCAACACATCACGTGCTGGAAAGGGCTGAAACGGAAGGACGTCCGTCTTTGCAAGGCGCCTATCCCTGCTGCTGACCGAGGCGCCGTCCGCGAATTGTACGAAGGCAAACACGCCCGCAGGGAAGGGAAGAAGAAGGCAGAAGAGATGGCGATCGAGGCGTGTTCGGGTGGATCGAAGAAGCAGTGCATCGAAGACTTCTACGGGGAAGGGGCGTCGTGTGCGAAGGACTCGGCAGACGACGCCATCTGCCTCATGTGGGCGGCGCTTCACCTCCCTGAGCATCTCGCCGATCACCCTCTCTGGCGCAACGCCGTGCGCTGCATCACGGCCGCGGGCCATGGCTACGTTGCCCCGAAGCGGCGGTATGTTGGTGGCGCCGGCCTTGCGCGCTGCCGCGGAAAGATCGAGAAGGGGCTCGCTCCCATCGCTGCGAGCTGGAAGCGGGATGGCGTGACGATAGGTTCCGACATGATGACGGACAAAAGTGGCCGTCCCCAAGCCAACATCCTGCTCATCAACGATTCCGGTGCCGTGTTTGCCGAGAGCATCGACTGTAAGTTGGAGACGAAGACGGGAGGTTACATTGCATCTGTTTTGCGCCCAATCATTGAGAAGGTGGGGCCCGCCAACATAGGTGCTTTCTGGATGGATGGGGGCAGCAATTACGCGGCTGCTTGTAGGGAACTCATGCTTGAGTATCCTCACATTGAGCATGTGCCGTGCTCTACTCATGTCATGGACCTGCTCATGGAAGACATTGGGAAAATGGACTGGGCGAAGGACATTGTGGCTAAGGCGGGGGTGATTATTACCTTTGTGCGTGCACACCATTTCACCAAAGGTTACATGAGATGCCCGCAGGTGAAGGGAGGGAAGGGGAAGCAGGTGCTGAAGCCGGCCGGCACCAGATTTGGCACGCAATTCATCGCGGTGCAGCGGCTTTGCGAGGTGCGGAATGCCTTGACGCAGATGGTGCTGAGCCCGGAGTGGCAGGCTTGGGCGAAGGGGAGGAAGCCGCCGGTCGAGCCCTTCGCTGAGATGATCATGGACGCCGTGTGGTGGAAGGGGGCGGAGTTCTTCGTCGCCCTCCTGAAGATTCCGTTTCTCGTCATGCGCAACCGACTCCACGGCCAAGGGCATGATGGGCAGGATGTACGATCTGATGCTCCAGCTCACGGAAGTTGTCAATGCGAAGCTGGAGGAGGAGGAGGCGGGGTTGGTGCTGTCCAGCACTGAACGCACAGAGGTGACCAATATCGTCCAGAAGCGCTGGGACCACAGCATGGCGTGTGCCATGCACGTGGTTGGCCGGATCCTCAATCCGGTCAACCAAGAGGAAGGCATTTTCCGGACCGACCTGAAGTGTACTCGCGTCTTCAAAGCGTTCGTCGCTCGTCACTTCGCGGGGCAGACCGTCACGCGCAAGGAGGGCGAGGAGCTGCGTGCATCCCACGTCATCCAGGACGGTTTGACTGCATTCAACACTCTCCAGGGGAGCTTCGGCCTACCCGACGCCATCTCGGACCGTGAGCTCGTGAAGGCCGGTAAGAAGACGGCCGTCCAGTGGTGGACGTGGCACGGTTCGGACCACCCCGAGCTGACCACTCTCGCCTGCCGCGTTCTCTCTCAGCCAGTGTCTGCATCGGCGTGTGAGAGGAACTGGGCAGTGTGGGAGTCGATCCACACTGCCAAGCGCAACAGGTTGGGGTCCGAGAAGTGTCGGGACCTCGTGTATGTTGCGCACAATTGGAACATTGTGCGCAACTGGCACAAGGGGGCCGAGGGGGTGACGGTTTTCCCGGGGAACATCCCTGAGGCTCCCCTGCCGGAAGGGTACAAGGAGGTTCTGGAGGAGGATGAGGAGGAGGGGGAGGAGGATGAGCTGGAGGATGAGTACAAGTAGAGGAGGAAGGAAGGAGCGGGGGGAGTAGAGGGTGGGAGTAGGGGGTGGGGTAGAATAGGGTAGGTGAGAATGTAAGGTTTTTTCAATATATACGCAAGCGTTTTGCTGCCCGGGCAGCGTATTTTTCGCGACTTTCAAAGTCACTCACTCAGCGCATAACGTACTATACGCAAGCGTATATACGCTTGCGTACAAATCGCTGGGCGCGACTTTTCCAACATAGCTTGCTTCCTCTCCCTCCATCTACTTGCTTCCTCTCCCTCCATCTACTTGCTTCCTCTCCCTCCATCTACTTGCTTCCTCTCCCTCCATCTACTTGCTTTCTCTCCCTCCATCTACTTGCTTTCTCTCCCTCCACCTACTTGCTTCCTCTCCCTCCATCTACTTGCTTCCTCTCCCTCCATCTACTTGCTTCCTCTCCCTCCATCTACTTGCTTCCTCTCCCTCCATCTACTTGCTTCCTCTCCCTCCATCTACTTGCTTTCTCTCCCTCCATCTACTTGCTTTCTCTCCCTCCATCTACTTGCTTCCTCTCCCTCCATCTACTTGCTTCCTCTCCCTCCATCTACTTGCTTCCTCTCCCTCCATCTACTTGCTTCCTCTCCCTCCATCTACTTGCTTTCTCTCCCTCCATCTACTTGCTTTCTCTCCCTCCATCTACTTGCTTCCTCTCCCTCCATCTACTTGCTTCCTCTCCCTCCATCTACTTGCTTCCTCTCCCTCCATCTACTTGCTTCCTCTCCCTCCATCTACTTGCTTTCTCTCCCTCCATCCATTTGCTTTCTCTCCCTCCATCTACTTGCTTCCTCTCCCTCCATCTACTTGCTTCCTCTCCCTCCATCTACTTGCTTCCTCTCCCTCCATCTACTTGCTTCCTCTCCCTCCATCTACTTGCTTCCTCTCCCTCCATCTACTTGCTTTCTCTCCCTCCATCTACTTGCTTTCTCTCCCTCCATCTACTTGCTTCCTCTCCCTCCATCTACTTGCTTCCTCTCCCTCCATCTACTTGCTTCCTCTCCCTCCATCTACTTGCTTCCTCTCCCTCCATCTACTTGCTTCCTCTCCCTTCATCTACTTGCTTTCTCTCCCTCCATCTACTTGCTTTCTCTCCCTCCATCTACTTGCTTCCTCTCCCTCCATCTACTTGCTTCCTCTCCCTCCATCTACTTGCTTCCTCTCCCTCCATCTACTTGCTTCCTCTCCCTTCATCTACTTGCTTTCTCTCCCTCCATCTACTTGCTTTCTCTCCCTCCATCTACTTGCTTCCTCTCCCTCCATCTACTTGCTTCCTCTCCCTCCATCTACTTGCTTCCTCTCCCTCCATCTACTTGCTTTCTCTCCCTCCATCTACTTGCTTCCTCTCCCTCCATCTACTTGCTTTCTCTCCCTCCATCTACTTGCTTTCTCTCCCTCCACCTACTTGCTTCCTCTCCCTCCATCTACTTGCTTCCTCTCCCTCCATCTACTTGCTTCCTCTCCCTCCATCTACTTGCTTCCTCTCCCTCCATCTACTTGCTTCCTCTCCCTCCATCTACTTGCTTTCTCTCCCTCCATCTACTTGCTTTCTCTCCCTCCATCTACTTGCTTCCTCTCCCTCCATCTACTTGCTTCCTCTCCCTCCATCTACTTGCTTCCTCTCCCTCCATCTACTTGCTTCCTCTCCCTCCATCTACTTGCTTTCTCTCCCTCCATCTACTTGCTTTCTCTCCCTCCATCTACTTGCTTCCTCTCCCTCCATCTACTTGCTTCCTCTCCCTCCATCTACTTGCTTCCTCTCCCTCCATCTACTTGCTTCCTCTCCCTCCATCTACTTGCTTTCTCTCCCTCCATCCATTTGCTTTCTCTCCCTCCATCTACTTGCTTCCTCACCCTCCATCTACTTGCTTCCTCTCCCTCCATCTACTTGCTTCCTCTCCCTCCATCTACTTGCTTCCTCTCCCTCCATCTACTTGCTTCCTCTCCCTCCATCTACTTGCTTCCTCTCCCTCCATCTACTTGCTTTCTCTCCCTCCATCTACTTGCTTTCTCTCCCTCCATCTACTTGCTTCCTCTCCCTCCATCTACTTGCTTCCTCTCCCTCCATCTACTTGCTTCCTCTCCCTCCATCTACTTGCTTCCTCTCCCTCCATCTACTTGCTTCCTCTCCCTCCATCTACTTGCTTTCTCTCCCTCCATCTACTTGCTTTCTCTCCCTCCACCTACTTGCTTCCTCTCCCTCCATCTACTTGCTTCCTCTCCCTCCATCTACTTGCTTCCTCTCCCTCCATCTACTTGCTTCCTCTCCCTCCATCTACTTGCTTCCTCTCCCTCCATCTACTTGCTTTCTCTCCCTCCATCTACTTGCTTTCTCTCCCTCCATCTACTTGCTTCCTCTCCCTCCATCTACTTGCTTCCTCTCCCTCCATCTACTTGCTTCCTCTCCCTCCATCTACTTGCTTCCTCTCCCTCCATCTACTTGCTTTCTCTCCCTCCATCTACTTGCTTTCTCTCCCTCCATCTACTTGCTTCCTCTCCCTCCATCTACTTGCTTCCTCTCCCTCCATCTACTTGCTTCCTCTCCCTCCATCTACTTGCTTCCTCTCCCTCCATCTACTTGCTTTCTCTCCCTCCATCCATTTGCTTTCTCTCCCTCCATCTACTTGCTTCCTCTCCCTCCATCTACTTGCTTCCTCTCCCTCCATCTACTTGCTTCCTCTCCCTCCATCTACTTGCTTCCTCTCCCTCCATCTACTTGCTTCCTCTCCCTCCATCTACTTGCTTCCTCTCCCTCCATCTACTTGCTTTCTCTCCCTCCATCTACTTGCTTTCTCTCCCTCCATCTACTTGCTTCCTCTCCCTCCATCTACTTGCTTCCTCTCCCTCCATCTACTTGCTTCCTCTCCCTCCATCTACTTGCTTCCTCTCCCTCCATCTACTTGCTTCCTCTCCCTTCATCTACTTGCTTTCTCTCCCTCCATCTACTTGCTTTCTCTCCCTCCATCTACTTGCTTCCTCTCCCTCCATCTACTTGCTTCCTCTCCCTCCATCTACTTGCTTCCTCTCCCTCCATCTACTTGCTTCCTCTCCCTTCATCTACTTGCTTTCTCTCCCTCCATCTACTTGCTTTCTCTCCCTCCATCTACTTGCTTCCTCTCCCTCCATCTACTTGCTTCCTCTCCCTCCATCTACTTGCTTCCTCTCCCTCCATCTACTTGCTTCCTCTCCCTCCATCCACTTGCTTTCTCTCCCTCCATCTACTTGCTTTCTCTCCCTCAATCTACTTGCTTCCTCTCCCTCCATCTACTTGCTTCCTCTCCCTCCATCTACTTGCTTCCTCTCCCTCCATCTACTTGCTTCCTCTCCCTCCATCTACTTGCTTGCTCTCCCTCCATCTACTTGCTTTCTCTCCCTCCATCTACTTGCTTCCTCTCCCTCCATCTACTTGCTTCCTCTCCCTCCATCTACTTGCTTCCTCTCCCTCCATCTACTTGCTTTCTCTCCCTCCATCTACTTGCTTTCTCTCCCTCCATCTACTTGCTTCCTCTCCCTCCATCTACTTGCTTCCTCTCCCTCCATCTACTTGCTTCCTCTCCCTCCATCTACTTGCTTCCTCTCCCTCCATCTACTTGCTTTCTCTCCCTCCATCTACTTGCTTCCTCTCCCTCCATCTACTTGCTTCCTCTCCCTCCATCTACTTGCTTCCTCTCCCTCCATCTACTTGCTTCCTCTCCCTCCATCTACTTGCTTTCTCTCCCTCCATCTACTTGCTTTCTCTCCCTCCATCTACTTGCTTTCTCTCCCTCCATCTACTTGCTTCCTCTCCCTCCATCTACTTGCTTCCTCTCCCTCCATCTACTTGCTTCCTCTCCCTCCATCTACTTGCTTCCTCTCCCTCCATCTACTTGCTTCCTCTCCCTCCATCTACTTGCTTCCTCTCCCTTCATCTACTTGCTTTCTCTCCCTCCATCTACTTGCTTCCTCTCCCTCCATCTACTTGCTTCCTCTCCCTCCATCTACTTGCTTCCTCTCCCTCCATCTACTTGCTTCCTCTCCCTCCATCTACTTGCTTCCTCTCCCTCCATCTACTTGCTTTCTCTCCCTCCATCTACTTGCTTTCTCTCCCTCAATCTACTTGCTTCCTCTCCCTCCATCTACTTGCTTCCTCTCCCTCCATCTACTTGCTTCCTCTCCCTCCATCTACTTGCTTCCTCTCCCTCCATCTACTTGCTTGCTCTCCCTCCATCTACTTGCTTTCTCTCCCTCCATCTACTTGCTTCCTCTCCCTCCATCTACTTGCTTCCTCTCCCTCCATCTACTTGCTTCCTCTCCCTCCATCTACTTGCTTCCTCTCCCTCCATCTACTTGCTTTCTCTCCCTCCATCTACTTGCTTTCTCTCCCTCCATCTACTTGCTTCCTCTCCCTCCATCTACTTGCTTCCTCTCCCTCCATCTACTTGCTTCCTCTCCCTCCATCTACTTGCTTCCTCTCCCTCCATCTACTTGCTTCCTCTCCCTCCATCTACTTGTTTTCTCTCCCTCCATCTACTTGCTTTCTCTCCCTCCACCTACTTGCTTCCTCTCCCTCCATCTACTTGCTTCCTCTCCCTCCATCTACTTGCTTCCTCTCCCTCCATCTACTTGCTTCCTCTCCCTCCATCTACTTGCTTCCTCTCCCTCCATCTACTTGCTTTCTCTCCCTCCATCTACTTGCTTTCTCTCCCTCCATCTACTTGCTTCCTCTCCCTCCATCTACTTGCTTCCTCTCCCTCCATCTACTTGCTTCCTCTCCCTCCATCTACTTGCTTCCTCTCCCTCCATCTACTTGCTTTCTCTCCCTCCATCTACTTGCTTTCTCTCCCTCCATCTACTTGCTTCCTCTCCCTCCATCTACTTGCTTCCTCTCCCTCCATCTACTTGCTTCCTCTCCCTCCATCTACTTGCTTCCTCTCCCTCCATCTACTTGCTTTCTCTCCCTCCATCCATTTGCTTTCTCTCCCTCCATCTACTTGCTTCCTCTCCCTCCATCTACTTGCTTCCTCTCCCTCCATCTACTTGCTTCCTCTCCCTCCATCTACTTGCTTCCTCTCCCTCCATCTACTTGCTTCCTCTCCCTCCATCTACTTGCTTCCTCTCCCTCCATCTACTTGCTTTCTCTCCCTCCATCTACTTGCTTTCTCTCCCTCCATCTACTTGCTTCCTCTCCCTCCATCTACTTGCTTCCTCTCCCTCCATCTACTTGCTTCCTCTCCCTCCATCTACTTGCTTCCTCTCCCTCCATCTACTTGCTTCCTCTCCCTTCATCTACTTGCTTTCTCTCCCTCCATCTACTTGCTTTCTCTCCCTCCATCTACTTGCTTCCTCTCCCTCCATCTACTTGCTTCCTCTCCCTCCATCTACTTGCTTCCTCTCCCTCCATCTACTTGCTTCCTCTCCCTTCATCTACTTGCTTTCTCTCCCTCCATCTACTTGCTTTCTCTCCCTCCATCTACTTGCTTCCTCTCCCTCCATCTACTTGCTTCCTCTCCCTCCATCTACTTGCTTCCTCTCCCTCCATCTACTTGCTTCCTCTCCCTCCATCTACTTGCTTCCTCTCCCTCCATCTACTTGCTTCCTCTCCCTCCATCTACTTGCTTTCTCTCCCTCCATCTACTTGCTTTCTCTCCCTCCACCTACTTGCTTCCTCTCCCTCCATCTACTTGCTTCCTCTCCCTCCATCTACTTGCTTCCTCTCCCTCCATCTACTTGCTTCCTCTCCCTCCATCTACTTGCTTCCTCTCCCTCCATCTACTTGCTTTCTCTCCCTCCATCTACTTGCTTTCTCTCCCTCCATCTACTTGCTTCCTCTCCCTCCATCTACTTGCTTCCTCTCCCTCCATCTACTTGCTTCCTCTCCCTCCATCTACTTGCTTCCTCTCCCTCCATCTACTTGCTTTCTCTCCCTCCATCTACTTGCTTTCTCTCCCTCCATCTACTTGCTTCCTCTCCCTCCATCTACTTGCTTCCTCTCCCTCCATCTACTTGCTTCCTCTCCCTCCATCTACTTGCTTCCTCTCCCTCCATCTACTTGCTTTCTCTCCCTCCATCCATTTGCTTTCTCTCCCTCCATCTACTTGCTTCCTCTCCCTCCATCTACTTGCTTCCTCTCCCTCCATCTACTTGCTTCCTCTCCCTCCATCTACTTGCTTCCTCTCCCTCCATCTACTTGCTTCCTCTCCCTCCATCTACTTGCTTCCTCTCCCTCCATCTACTTGCTTTCTCTCCCTCCATCTACTTGCTTTCTCTCCCTCCATCTACTTGCTTCCTCTCCCTCCATCTACTTGCTTCCTCTCCCTCCATCTACTTGCTTCCTCTCCCTCCATCTACTTGCTTCCTCTCCCTCCATCTACTTGCTTCCTCTCCCTTCATCTACTTGCTTTCTCTCCCTCCATCTACTTGCTTTCTCTCCCTCCATCTACTTGCTTCCTCTCCCTCCATCTACTTGCTTCCTCTCCCTCCATCTACTTGCTTCCTCTCCCTCCATCTACTTGCTTCCTCTCCCTTCATCTACATGCTTTCTCTCCCTCCATCTACTTGCTTTCTCTCCCTCCATCTACTTGCTTCCTCTCCCTCCATCTACTTGCTTCCTCTCCCTCCATCTACTTGCTTCCTCTCCCTCCATCTACTTGCTTCCTCTCCCTCCATCTACTTGCTTTCTCTCCCTCCATCTACTTGCTTTCTCTCCCTCAATCTACTTGCTTCCTCTCCCTCCATCTACTTGCTTCCTCTCCCTCCATCTACTTGCTTCCTCTCCCTCCATCTACTTGCTTCCTCTCCCTCCATCTACTTGCTTGCTCTCCCTCCATCTACTTGCTTTCTCTCCCTCCATCTACTTGCTTCCTCTCCCTCCATCTACTTGCTTCCTCTCCCTCCATCTACTTGCTTCCTCTCCCTCCATCTACTTGCTTTCTCTCCCTCCATCTACTTGCTTTCTCTCCCTCCATCTACTTGCTTCCTCTCCCTCCATCTACTTGCTTCCTCTCCCTCCATCTACTTGCTTCCTCTCCCTCCATCTACTTGCTTCCTCTCCCTCCATCTACTTGCTTTCTCTCCCTCCATCTACTTGCTTCCTCTCCCTCCATCTACTTGCTTCCTCTCCCTCCATCTACTTGCTTCCTCTCCCTCCATCTACTTGCTTCCTCTCCCTCCATCTACTTGCTTTCTCTCCCTCCATCTACTTGCTTTCTCTCCCTCCATCTACTTGCTTTCTCTCCCTCCATCTACTTGCTTCCTCTCCGTCCATCTACTTGCTTCCTCTCCCTCCATCTACTTGCTTCCTCTCCCTCCATCTACTTGCTTCCTCTCCCTCCATCTACTTGCTTCCTCTCCCTCCATCTACTTGCTTCCTCTCCCTTCATCTACTTGCTTTCTCTCCCTCCATCTACTTGCTTCCTCTCCCTCCATCTACTTGCTTCCTCTCCCTCCATCTACTTGCTTCCTCTCCCTCCATCTACTTGCTTCCTCTCCCTCCATCTACTTGCTTCCTCTCCCTCCATCTACTTGCTTTCTCTCCCTCCATCTACTTGCTTTCTCTCCCTCATCTACTTGCTTCCTCTCCCTCCATCTACTTGCTTCCTCTCCCTCCATCTACTTGCTTCCTCTCCCTCCATCTACTTGCTTCCTCTCCCTCCATCTACTTGCTTCCTCTCCCTCCATCTACTTGCTTGCTCTCCCTCCATCTACTTGCTTTCTCTCCCTCCATCTACTTGCTTCCTCTCCCTCCATCTACTTGCTTCCTCTCCCTCCATCTACTTGCTTCCTCTCCCTCCATCTACTTGCTTTCTCTCCCTCCATCTACTTGCTTTCTCTCCCTCCATCTACTTGCTTCCTCTCCCTCCATCTACTTGCTTCCTCTCCCTCCATCTACTTGCTTCCTCTCCCTCCATCTACTTGCTTCCTCTCCCTCCATCTACTTGCTTTCTCTCCCTCCATCTACTTGCTTCCTCTCCCTCCATCTACTTGCTTCCTCTCCCTCCATCTACTTGCTTCCTCTCCCTCCATCTACTTGCTTCCTCTCCCTCCATCTACTTGCTTTCTCTCCCTCCATCTACTTGCTTTCTCTCCCTCCATTTACTTGCTTTCTCTCCCTCCATCTACTTGCTTCCTCTCCCTCCATCTACTTGCTTCCTCTCCCTCCATCTACTTGCTTCCTCTCCCTCCATCTACTTGCTTCCTCTCCCTCCATCTACTTGCTTTCTCTCCCTCCATCTACTTGCTTTCTCTCCCTCCATCTACTTGCTTCCTCTCCCTCCATCTACTTGCTTCCTCTCCCTCCATCTACTTGCTTCCTCTCCCTCCATCTACTTGCTTTCTCTCCCTCCATCTACTTGCTTCCTCTCCCTCCATCTACTTGCTTCCTCTCCCTCCATCTACTTGCTTCCTCTCCCTCCATCTACTTGCTTCCTCTCCCTCCATCTACTTGCTTCCTCTCCCTCCATCTACTTGCTTCCTCTCCCTCCATCTACTTGCTTCCTCTCCCTCCATCTACTTGCTTCCTCTCCCTCCATCTACTTGCTTCCTCTCCCTCATCTACTTGCTTCTCTCCCTCATCTACTTGCTTTCTCTCCCTCCATCTACTTGCTTTCTCTCCCTCCATCTACTTGCTTCCTCTCCCTCCATCTACTTGCTTCCTCTCCCTCCATCTACTTGCTTCCTCTCCCTCCATCTACTTGCTTCCTCTCCCTCCATCTACTTGCTTCCTCTCCCTTCATCTACTTGCTTTCTCTCCCTCCATCTACTTGCTTCCTCTCCCTCCATCTACTTGCTTCCTCTCCCTCCATCTACTTGCTTCCTCTCCCTCCATCTACTTGCTTCCTCTCCCTCCATCTACTTGCTTCCTCTCCCTCCATCTACTTGCTTTCTCTCCCTCCATCTACTTGCTTTCTCTCCCTCAATCTACTTGCTTCCTCTCCCTCCATCTACTTGCTTCCTCTCCCTCCATCTACTTGCTTCCTCTCCCTCCATCTACTTGCTTCCTCTCCCTCCATCTACTTGCTTGCTCTCCCTCCATCTACTTGCTTTCTCTCCCTCCATCTACTTGCTTCCTCTCCCTCCATCTACTTGCTTCCTCTCCCTCCATCTACTTGCTTCCTCTCCCTCCATCTACTTGCTTTCTCTCCCTCCATCTACTTGCTTTCTCTCCCTCCATCTACTTGCTTCCTCTCCCTCCATCTACTTGCTTCCTCTCCCTCCATCTACTTGCTTCCTCTCCCTCCATCTACTTGCTTTCTCTCCCTCCATCTACTTGCTTTCTCTCCCTCCATCTACTTGCTTCCTCTCCCTCCATCTACTTGCTTCCTCTCCCTCCATCTACTTGCTTCCTCTCCCTCCATCTACTTGCTTCCTCTCCCTCCATCTACTTGCTTTCTCTCCCTCCATCTACTTGCTTCCTCTCCCTCCATCTACTTGCTTCCTCTCCCTCCATCTACTTGCTTCCTCTCCCTCCATCTACTTGCTTCCTCTCCCTCCATCTACTTGCTTTCTCTCCCTCCATCTACTTGCTTTCTCTCCCTCCATCTACTTGCTTTCTCTCCCTCCATCTACTTGCTTCCTCTCCCTCCATCTACTTGCTTCCTCTCCCTCCATCTACTTGCTTCCTCTCCCTCCATCTACTTGCTTCCTCTCCCTCCATCTACTTGCTTCCTCTCCCTCCATCTACTTGCTTCCTCTCCCTTCATCTACTTGCTTTCTCTCCCTCCATCTACTTGCTTCCTCTCCCTCCATCTACTTGCTTCCTCTCCCTCCATCTACTTGCTTCCTCTCCCTCCATCTACTTGCTTCCTCTCCCTCCATCTACTTGCTTCCTCTCCCTCCATCTACTTGCTTTCTCTCCCTCCATCTACTTGCTTTCTCTCCCTCAATCTACTTGCTTCCTCTCCCTCCATCTACTTGCTTCCTCTCCCTCCATCTACTTGCTTCCTCTCCCTCCATCTACTTGCTTCCTCTCCCTCCATCTACTTGCTTGCTCTCCCTCCATCTACTTGCTTTCTCTCCCTCCATCTACTTGCTTCCTCTCCCTCCATCTACTTGCTTCCTCTCCCTCCATCTACTTGCTTCCTCTCCCTCCATCTACTTGCTTTCTCTCCCTCCATCTACTTGCTTTCTCTCCCTCCATCTACTTGCTTCCTCTCCCTCCATCTACTTGCTTCCTCTCCCTCCATCTACTTGCTTCCTCTCCCTCCATCTACTTGCTTCCTCTCCCTCCATCTACTTGCTTTCTCTCCCTCCATCTACTTGCTTCCTCTCCCTCCATCTACTTGCTTCCTCTCCCTCCATCTACTTGCTTCCTCTCCCTCCATCTACTTGCTTCCTCTCCCTCCATCTACTTGCTTTCTCTCCCTCCATCTACTTGCTTTCTCTCCCTCCATTTACTTGCTTTCTCTCCCTCCATCTACTTGCTTCCTCTCCCTCCATCTACTTGCTTCCTCTCCCTCCATCTACTTGCTTCCTCTCCCTCCATCTACTTGCTTCCTCTCCCTCCATCTACTTGCTTTCTCTCCCTCCATCTACTTGCTTTCTCTCCCTCCATCTACTTGCTTCCTCTCCCTCCATCTACTTGCTTCCTCTCCCTCCATCTACTTGCTTCCTCTCCCTCCATCTACTTGCTTTCTCTCCCTCCATCTACTTGCTTCCTCTCCCTCCATCTACTTGCTTCCTCTCCCTCCATCTACTTGCTTCCTCTCCCTCCATCTACTTGCTTCCTCTCCCTCCATCTACTTGCTTCCTCTCCCTCCATCTACTTGCTTCCTCTCCCTCCATCTACTTGCTTCCTCTCCCTCCATCTACTTGCTTCCTCTCCCTCCATCTACTTGCTTCCTCTCCCTTCATCTACTTGCTTTCTCTCCCTCCATCTACTTGCTTTCTCTCCCTCCATCTACTTGCTTCCTCTCCCTCCATCTACTTGCTTCCTCTCCCTCCATCTACTTGCTTCCTCTCCCTCCATCTACTTGCTTCCTCTCCCTCCATCTACTTGCTTCCTCTCCCTTCATCTACTTGCTTTCTCTCCCTCCATCTACTTGCTTCCTCTCCCTCCATCTACTTGCTTCCTCTCCCTCCATCTACTTGCTTCCTCTCCCTCCATCTACTTGCTTCCTCTCCCTCCATCTACTTGCTTCCTCTCCCTCCATCTACTTGCTTTCTCTCCCTCCATCTACTTGCTTTCTCTCCCTCAATCTACTTGCTTCCTCTCCCTCCATCTACTTGCTTCCTCTCCCTCCATCTACTTGCTTCCTCTCCCTCCATCTACTTGCTTCCTCTCCCTCCATCTACTTGCTTGCTCTCCCTCCATCTACTTGCTTTCTCTCCCTCCATCTACTTGCTTCCTCTCCCTCCATCTACTTGCTTCCTCTCCCTCCATCTACTTGCTTCCTCTCCCTCCATCTACTTGCTTTCTCTCCCTCCATCTACTTGCTTTCTCTCCCTCCATCTACTTGCTTCCTCTCCCTCCATCTACTTGCTTCCTCTCCCTCCATCTACTTGCTTCCTCTCCCTCCATCTACTTGCTTCCTCTCCCTCCATCTACTTGCTTCTCTCCCTCCATCTACTTGCTTCTCTCCCTCCATCTACTTGCTTCCTCTCCCTCCATCTACTTGCTTCCTCTCCCTCCATCTACTTGCTTCCTCTCCCTCCATCTACTTGCTTCCTCTCCCTCCATCTACTTGCTTTCTCTCCCTCCATCTACTTGCTTTCTCTCCCTCCATTTACTTGCTTTCTCTCCCTCCATCTACTTGCTTCCTCTCCCTCCATCTACTTGCTTCCTCTCCCTCCATCTACTTGCTTCCTCTCCCTCCATCTACTTGCTTCCTCTCCCTCCATCTACTTGCTTTCTCTCCCTCCATCTACTTGCTTTCTCTCCCTCCATCTACTTGCTTCCTCTCCCTCCATCTACTTGCTTCCTCTCCCTCCATCTACTTGCTTCCTCTCCCTCCATCTACTTGCTTTCTCTCCCTCCATCTACTTGCTTCCTCTCCCTCCATCTACTTGCTTCCTCTCCCTCCATCTACTTGCTTCCTCTCCCTCCATCTACTTGCTTCCTCTCCCTCCATCTACTTGCTTCCTCTCCCTCCATCTACTTGCTTCCTCTCCCTCCATCTACTTGCTTTCTCTCCCTCCATCTACTTGCTTCCTCTCCCTCCATCTACTTGCTTCCTCTCCCTCCATCTACTTGCTTCCTCTCCCTCCATCTACTTGCTTCCTCTCCCTCCATCTACTTGCTTCCTCTCCCTCCATCTACTTGCTTCCTCTCCCTCCATCTACTTGCTTTCTCTCCCTCCATCTACTTGCTTCCTCTCCCTCCATCTACTTGCTTCCTCTCCCTCCATCTACTTGCTTCCTCTCCCTCCATCTACTTGCTTCCTCTCCCTCCATCTACTTGCTTCCTCTCCCTCCATCGCACCTCCATTCAGACACCTGTGCCATCAAGAGCTGCAACCTTACGGTCTCTGTTTGCATGAAGGACGCTGCAGGCGTAGCCTCCTGTGTTTACAAGACGGGCTATCAGAACGTATCGGGTAAGTTCTACCAAAAACCGAATGAGCTACCAACTGCATTAACGCATCGGGCACGTGTACAGGTAAGGTAAGCATGAGTACGGGTAAGCACGTGTATGGGTAAGTTCTACTGGTCTAAGCCGCATGCCAGGCGAGGCTGTCAGTCAGGCCAGACCGCCAAGGCAGGCTGCTAAGGGGCTTGGCTTGCCCCTGACTCAAATCCGCCGCTCGTGGCTCAACCCAGAGTGTTGAGCCCGTTTGTATGCACTGTTGCGATTGGCGACATCCGTCCCATACAACTTTTGAGACGTCTCAAATATATATATATATGTATATATGTATATATGTATATATATACATATATATGTATATACATGTGTATATATATATCACTTTGCTTGCACTGTTGCGTTCAGTGGCCCATCCCATATTGCATTCACCATCTGCTGACCCTGTATGCTCCCCTTTTCCCCACCTCCACAGCACCTGCCCCGTGTGTGGTCCGTCCTGCAGGAACCAGCTGCACTGTGCTGCCGTACAACAAAGCCGCCTACTGCGCGCGCGTACACATGCATGCACCATCTGCTGTCTCACTTTGTGTGCTCCTCCCCCCTCTTCCCCACCTCCACAGCACCTTCCTCGTGTGGGTGGGGTCTGCCTTGCAGGAGCCAGGTGCACTGTGCTGCTGTACAGAAAAGCCGCCTACTGCCTGTACTCATGCATGCACCATCTGCTGTCTGTCTCACTCTGTATGCTCCTCTCCCCTCTTCCCCACCTCCACAGAATCTTCCCCGTGTGGGGTCTGCCCTGCAGGAGCCAGCTGCATTCCAGTTTCGTACAGCAAAGCCGCCTACTGCCTCTGCCCTCCCGGGTCTGCCATGACCGCCGTTGGTTGCGTCCTAGGTATGCCATTGTTTTGAGAGAGTCCCTAGGAAATGAGAGAAAAACGTTGTCATGAGATCAAGTTAAAAAATTCCCCCCTTGGCCTTTCATCCTCTGCTGCATTCACCCTCAGCAAAGCATCTCTCCTCCGTGTCTTAGCCTCGTTCCCGCTTCGATACATCCAAGCATTGACATAACGCCCAACGCATTGGCAACCTTAGCGCTCAACGCACCTTTGTTCCTTCCCCTTTCAGACGCCACCCCCACCGTCTCCTCGACCAGCCTCACCTACTACACGTTCCCAAGCATCCTCATAACCCTTTGTTGTCAACCCTCATAACATTTCACCACACTTTGTTGTCAACTCTCATAACAACTCACCGCCCTGTGTTGCCACCCCCTTCCAGACGCCACCCCCACCGTCTCTACGACCAGCTTCACCTTCTACACGCTCCCAAGCTACGGCGTAACGCCCGCCGCCTACACCATGCGTCTCACCTACAACGGCTGCACCAACCTCACAGCCTCCAGTGCACCGGACATCCAGTCGTATGGCAGCGTGCAGGATGCCCCTGGAGGTGTGGCGAGCTGCCTTGAGATCCGCGCTTACTACCAGGCGGGGTGCATCGGAACATATAGTCTGTTTCCTGTCGCGAAAGGAAGTCTCAGCACTTCAAGTGTTCCGTGAGCCACTGAACCATCCTACCTGCCACCTACTGCACTGCGGTTTGTTTGTTTGTTTTTTTTTTGTGTGTGTGTGTGTGTGTGTTTTTTTTTTTTTTTTTTTTTTTTTGTATGTTTGTTTGTTTTTTTTTTCCTCCAAATTTTTCCTTCCCTGGTTTTGGCACTCGTTTCTGCCTGCGGACATTTCCTCTAACACCTGCTTGTGCGTTTTCTTCCGTTTGCTTTGCATGCAACAGAAATTATTACGGGTATCCTTTCCGCTCCTTCGGCTGCTCTATCTTTGGTGAGTGCTGCTGTGTTGGCTGGTGGGACCATTGTGTTGGTGGGGGCCATTGCGTTCCTTTCTTTGGCCCTGTATCTGCTGGCCCATTTAGTTAACAACTCGTAAACAATAATTGGCGTTCCTTTGCTGAGAATGCAGTTAACGCTGCACCTGGCCCTTTCGGTCAATAAGACACATTCACGTGTTTTCTTAAATAACATTCTGCCGCACACTTTGCTTGTTGTGCAAAAGTCCTGCACCCATTCAACCCACGAACTCACTGTGCCATCCGCACGAGCTCCTTGCAAGTCTATCCATGCATATCCGCATGTTCCCTCATGCTGTCTCCTCTCTCACAGAGAAATGCGCTCTCAACAGCTGTGGGGCAAACGGCAAGTGCGTTCAGGACAGTGCAGGAGTGGCCTTCTGTGCTTGTGACGCTGGCTTTGTTCTTCAGACCGATGGCAGGACGTGCACTGGTATGTTCTGCTATTGTGACATTCAGTGCAAGGATGGAGAATAAAGCTCAACCGTATTTTGTACTACAAATAATTCGGAACCGTTGTGGAAACGAGGGGGGCTTGGCTGGTTCGGATCGTGGCCCAGTTATCATGGTCCAAATGAACCAAGAGGAGGAGTATTAACATGCCTATAATCACCTGTAGGCATGGGCATCTGGCCCGACCCGGCCCGACCCGTCCCGTTTAGGGCGACCTGTTAGCTTAAAGCCCAAGGCCTGAATTGCTCAACGCAAGTCAACGCGGGGCAAAACTGTGGGCTGCGGGAGGGAAACTGTGCACAGTTTGCCTTTGTTTTTTGTAATTCGGGTCTTGGGCTTTAACGGGTCGGGTCGGGTCGGGTCGGGTCAGCGGGTCGGGTTTGACTCTCTTTTGGTGACCCGACCCGCCCCGTTGGAACGGGTATTTGTGACCCGTAACCGGGTCGGTTACACCACGGGTCGGGTCGGGTCGGATCAAAATATGCTACATAGCAGCAGGGTATGGGGGTTAGGTCTGAATTGCTACATTGTAAACTACATGTGTGTGGCCGCGATTGCGCTGCCCTAATGCGGGGCCGAGATCGCGCTATTGCGGGAACACGATCCCGCCAATGCGTGGCCGCGAGCGCGCTGCTGCGCCCCTGGTCGTGCGACCCTGCGTAATGGCGGGAGCGCCTATGCCTGTAATGAATATAAATATAAAAATAGTGCTAACATTGAAGTGAAGACTGTAAGAGTTTTGGTAGGTGCAGTGCAGATTTACCTTTTGATCTAGTCTAGAGACTGGATCTGAATGTCGAGGGAAACATAACATCACACCAACTGATGTTCTCCCCCTCTCCAAAGTGTACCCTAATCAGAGAACGGGTCGGGTAACCCTGTCATTTGACTGGGTATGCGACCCGGACGGGACGGGTCAACCCGACCCTGCGGGTCGCTGATACCCATCTATAAATCACATTGACGGGTCACGGGTCGACCCGACCCGCCGGGTAAACCCGACCCGACCCGGACGGGTCGACATTCTCAGCATTCCTGACCCGTCCGGGCCAAATGCCCACCCCTAATCACCTGCCAAGGTCTGACTGACGGCCAGATGATTCGACCAAGATTGAACTTGGAAACCAATCCCCAAAAGGATGAAACGTAGTTGTGCACCTAAGCCAGATTTGGGTGACTATCTCTACTCGACCAGACTGAGTGAACTAGTGCATGCAGCTTAGAGGTTTTTTTACAGTTCGTTGCAGATGTGCACTTCTGTATGCTGCTGTGTGCTGCTGTGTGCTGCTGTTGTTGCTGTATGTTTCTCCGTGCTGTGCTCTCTCTCCACATCTGTCACTTGTCTTACTCTTCTGACCATACCACTCCCCTCTTGTATCGTCCCTTAGTGGGCTGTGGGTCCAAGATCTGCGATCCAACAACTGACTGCATGACAGACGCTGCAGGCGGTGCGACCTGTGTGTGCAAGGCCGGCTATCGGAACATCTCCGGCACTTGCCTTGGTATGTGTTGGGGGTGGCAACTCAAAAACCCTCTTTGAAAGCCCTTTTTGATAACCTCATTTTTTTCCCTTTTATTTTTGGTCGATCCAAAAGTCGCTCCAAGCTGGCGCGTGAATAGTGGGCTCATCTCATCCTAGCTGGCTGGAATACAACCAGTTCTGCTGTTTGCCTTACTGCTTGTGGGTGCCGTAGCCACTGCATCATGTGTGTGTGTTCCACCAGTGTCATGTGCACTGTGCTACACATCTACATAAGAGCTGGTTTTTGAGAACATTAAACCAGCTCGTACTGTGCACTGTGCTACACTTCGACATATGAGTCCTCCGACTTCTATCACAACTCGCAGCGTTGGATCTCTGTGATGCTCCCTGCTGCATTGTGATGCCCTCGGTGCTTCCATTTCTGTTTCCTCTGCATCGTGGAAAAGGGTTTTGGCCCAAAGTCGGTTTTCTGCAACTTTGGCTAGCTACCTTGCTGGAAAGTTGAGGATACGTTGCGGGAAGTATCTGAAAAGTAGTGAAGTGAAAACCGCAACATACCCCAATTTTGGATACGGGGTAATCGAGCCGCGCATTTTGGATCCGAGGGGTAGCCGAGCCGCGCATTTCTATCATCAATTGAGCAACACCCAATCGCAACCTACCCCCACCCCACAAATTTGGTTTTCGCGACTTGAGAAACTAAGCGCATGCGCCCAATCTGTGCTGAATTGGTGGGAAATCCGCGGCATGCACAAATCACCCCAACTGTCCGATGCTTTTGACCATGACTTGAAAGTTGCGAAATGGTCTACCACGATAACTGAAAAGTTACTTTTCTGCAAGCTTTCAGCAGCCTTTCCGCAATACCTTTTCCGCGATGTGTGACTGATCATATTGTTTCATTGTATGTCATGCGGTGTTGTGCCGTGCTACTCCATGCCATGTGTGGTGTTCTCTGCTGTGCTGTGCTGTGCTGTGCTGTGCTGTGCTGTGCTGTGCTGTGCGGTGGTGGTTTGTACTTCTCAAATTTCCACCTCCCCAGGCCCTGCCACGTGTGGGAACTGCCCTACTGGAGCCACGTGTGCTGTTGCTTTCGGCTACATTCCATACTGCATCTGCCCTACCGGATATGGCATGACCAGCACTGGCTGTGTCAGCGGTAAGACCAATGATCCTTGCGTCCTAGGTTGGCTTTGAACCAACATGTGTCTGTTGCGCCTTTGAACCTTGTGCTGCGTCTGTTACCGCAAGGAAAATCTCTCACTAGAACATGTTGGTTATCGCCTTTCCTATACTTCCTTATAACCAACCAACCTGTGTCTGTTGCGGTTCTGAACCTTGTGCTGCGTCGTCCCTCTCTGTGCCATTTCCACATTGCCATGCTGCTCTGCTTGCCCTTGCATGCAGGCGCCACCCCCACCGTGTCTGACACCAGCTTCACCTTCTACGATCAGAGCAACTACACCATCACTCCCAACACCTACACCATGCGCCTCGAATACAACGGCTGCACCACTATCCCTTCCTCAACTTCCTCAAAAATCCGGTCTATTTGGAACGTACAGAAGGTGTCCGGAGCATTGGGGAACTGCATTTCTGTGAATTATTACACCCAGGAAGGGTGTGTTGGGACGTATACTTCGTTTCCTTCCTCTGGTGGAACTGGAATGAGTGGCGCCGGTTACATGTAAGTCACCATTTGCCACCTGTTGCTATCTTAGACTACACATTAAGAGATTCAGAATGCATGCGAACACGTGAGATGCGCACATACGAGCATGGCACATGCACGCAGGCCTATGACACGTGCACAACACACAAGTGTCACCTGCACCCATGCTTGTGACATTGGAATTCATTATGTATTCTACCGTGCACTTGTTGACCCCATCAGTTCCTTGGCTCCCCACTTCTCTCCGTTGCACACCAGTTCCCCCCCTAGCCAGATCTTTCATTTCACTTCTCTGTCACTCTTTGCATCAGAATTTCTCTTACCTTCCTGCGTGCTTACCCCCACTCAACAGAAACTACCCTACATATCCATACCGCTCTTTTACCTGTGTTCATTAAGCTCATCAGTACGAACTTCTAGACATAGCAGCTGGAGTGGTGCGGAATGAAGCTGCTATCTACATTTGGGTTTCCAATGCTTCCGGCTGTTCATGTGTATAATAATTGGTTATCCCTGTAAAATGAGCTGGGTTCGGGCCTCGGATTCGTGAAAGAACCTGCAGCCCAGAGGATTCCTGGTTTGTACCAAGCTCTTTTCTATTTGTCATGGCAACGTGCTTCGTTTTGATCGGCAATTGCAGCAGCTTTGCCCATCAGATTCTTACCTTCATTTTCTGGATATACCGTACGTCCCTCGGAGTGTTGATAAATTGGAGTTGACGATAAGGGATTGTATTTGATTGAATGTAAGTTATATGGCATTGCGTGCTTTGAATGGCTCAAGTACTCACAACGCGTCAAAACATAAACCCTTGCATGGGATAGGAGGTGCCGTTGCAGGACTAAACAAGAAACAAATTGGAACACAAAGAAAAAGGGGGGAAGGGGGGGGGGGGGGTGGGAGGGGGGGGCTCAGAAGTCAGCGAAAAAAGGCTGATTTAGGTAAAAAAGGCTGAGATTTCAGACATTTCCTAGAACTGAGGCTGATTTTTCAGCAATTTGTTGAAAAGAAACATGAAATTTTGTTAGATTTGTAGTGTAAAATGGCATAATATGGCTAATCTTTATGATTTTCAGCAAAACGTTTTGTACCAACTCTGATTTTTCAGCCTAGGCCAAAACGAATCTGAGGCCCACGGAAGGATGATTTCACCAAGGTTGGTTGGGGTACATAAACCTGACCGTAACTGTTGTACCCCATATTGTTGGGCTGAGAAAAAGCCCTTAGGATCTTTGCAGGACTAAACTCTGAATAGGAACAATGTAATAGCGGAAGCGTTTAATGATAAGTCTGTGAACCACCTTGCGCTGGTATGTGAGGGCAAAGTAGATTGATTAAAGCAAAGAGATACACACTTTTATAAGAGTACAAGGGAATATGAAAGGTTATAGCTAACAACTGTTTTGCTGTTGCTGTTGCAGTTCGATACAGTGACGACTCGGGCAACTGCTCGATAACGAGTCAGTTGTTTG